TTGCCAGACACTTGGGAAGCGTACGGAAATGGTCCCGATAGTCCGTCACAGCAACTTCGCTTTTGTTTTAGTGACGGCGTCAGGCTGTTCTTCGGCAGATTGTTAGGCTGAAACGTAGCATGAGGTTCACGTGTAAAAGTGTAAAGGAGTAAAGGAAAACGCAGTGCATTAAGTAGATACGTAACTTTGCCATCTCTTGGTGTAGCAAGTTCAGCACTGGCTGTTCTAGCTTCACGTTCATATTTAAAAAAGACTTAAACAGCAACATTATCTCCCTGGGACAAAAAGCCCCGCCGGGCTCCCAGGAACGCTTCTGGCGGGGTCCCCAGAGGGCAGCCTTGCTCTTCCTTTGGAGAAATGGTGTCGGCCCTGCTTGTGTCGGTGGCCTCTGTACCGGCTTTTCCTTTGCAGTAACTCCCCGGGAAAAAAACCCTATTCAAACTAAGCGGACACAGAAAAAGACACAGAGCGTTTCTGTATTACACAGCCGAGGTTTCCAGTCTTGTACACAGTGGAAAAAATGACGGAGCGCGCTGACATGAAGTGCTTTTGCAGGCACTGGCAGGCTGCCTTCCTAAAACTAATTAATTGCAGAATTCATTAGGCCATCCAGATTAACCTCACTTTTTGTCACGGATTACATGATCGCCAAAGATGCAGCCTATTAATGTCACCTTGAGTATATACAACTGCATATGCTGTTTTATAGAAAATACCATACAGTTAAATCTAAACCCGCCTAAATGGTACCAAATTACCATGATGGGCAAAATCTGAACCCTTATTTAGATTCCTATTTTTTAAATGATACTTTCTGATGATGGGATAACTCTACATCTCTCATCCTGGCATAACCAGGTTATGGGGAGTTTGACACACAGATAACGTTTTTGTATTATGCCTTACATCTGCAAGTCTCTGCACAGTTCACAGACAAACAGGAACAGTACCTTCGCATAGGTAAAACCTTTTGCTAGCGTCCCTGTGGAAATGAAGAGGTCAGTGCTTGGAGACCAGCCTCGGGTGAGAGCAGGAGGGAGGCTCCTTGGAAATCCTGAAGACCCCTTGGGGTTCCCCCCTGCACACCGAGGGCGGCTGTGATCGGGACGTGATGCACAGGACGCTTGTGTCGGGAGTCCGGAGCAGGAGTCAGTGCCCTGTTTCACCTCTTACTTATCCTGATTTTCATCTAATTTTCCCCCTCTGCCTTCAGTGTAAATGACGATGCAGAGAGCCTTTCTTTGTTGTCTCCCAGCTGAGTCTGACTTGGGGCCTGCTCATTTGCAAACAATGCAGTAACACCAGCGTTCTCCTGAAACAGCTGCTGATTTCTTTCCAAGCTGCTGGCACTGAATGCACACATAATGTTTTCTTTATTTTCTTTCTCTCCCTTTCTTTTTCCGCTGGTTTCAGGAAGAAGGGATTGTGACAGAAGAGCTATCTTCCTTAGGCCTAGTGTTCTACTTTTTTAAAAATATGCCAGTGATGGTTTGCCTATGACAGATTACCTATGAACAGACTTTTTTTTTTCTTGTAGGTGTTAGAAAACAACAATTTCCTCACAGACCTCCCATTTAGTGAGCGCAAGCCAGTTCAGAGTCAGGTCCAAAAAGTAACTCAGATAACATCTTGGCTTTTAATAGTCCTTCTGCAAACTCCCCTTTCTGCAGAGTGAAAATGATTTTAGAAAACAAATAAAAGACTCCTATGTAGAAATAGGAAAAAGAATGAAAATAATCAAGTTACAGATAAGAATAAACTGAGTGACATGACCTTTAATCTGTGAGTTTAGGAATGATACTACTACTAGCAAAGAGGGCTGCAGGAGACTGGATATTTGGGGGTGAGAAGCATCCCTAGTAAATGAGTCAGGAATTCAGGGAATACAGCTGCAGCAGCCAGAAGGATAGGCAGGCTGTAATTCCTCCCCCTTGGAGAAAG